CCTTCTCTCCCTGCTGGGCGCAGACCTTGCAGCGGATGAGTCTGGGAGGCCGGCGGGGCCGCATGACCATGTGGCCGTGCGTGCTTCCTTGTGCTGCCAAGGGACCAGGCCCGTGGTCGTGACCCAGGAGACGGCTGCCTTGGGAAGTTGGTCTCCCGGCGGGGCTGTGGGGCCAGAGCAGCTGTCCCGGGGCATCGCTGGCAGAAGCCTGCGGTGTGTGGGTGATGCGTCCACCCGGGGATCTGCTCCCTGGGCACACATGCTGCATCCGGGTCTAGCACGGGCTTGCTCACCGCAGCCCACCCTTGGCCCAGCGCTGCGTGGCTGAACGCTTGTCCTGTGCCTTGCCTGCTCCGAGCTCACCTGGGGGCTCCCTCCATGCCCAAAGAGGAGGAGAGAAGTGACGAACTCCTTCATGTTCCCCCTTGCTAAAATCCCCAGCTGCTTGTGTGGGGCCGAGGCCTGAAGGCTTGCACGGGCAGCTACAAGCTGGCAGTGCAGAGCGGTAGCAAGATGAGGCCCAGGGTTGGCATCAGCCCTGCGTTTCCACATGCTCCCTCTGCCCCCGGCGGCTTTCCTGAGCCTGCCCCGACCTCCCTGGGACAGCTGTCTGGAGGGAGGCCGGCGGAGGCTGTCCCGGGGACGTTGCGCGTCCCGTGCAGCACCCAGCCCACGTGCCAGTTTGCAGGGTGGCAGACAGTGCGACAGCCAGGGTCAAAACGGGCGTCTGCCGATGGAGGAGTTGATGGGTAGGGAAGGGCTTGCCCAGCACAAATCAAGCAGAGCTGGTAGAGGCCACTTTGCATTTGATTAGGTCAAGATTGCAGGTGGCGCCAGGGCCACGTCTGATGCTCGCCACTGCTAATTGTCTCGGCCCTGCCCCTTTTTGCGCGGCTGCTCGTCTGGGGCCGTGCAGGGTGGCGCGGCTAGTGGGACCCTTGCCCCAGTGCTCCCTGCCGTCTGCCCTGCAGCGTGGGCCGCAGCCACTGCTCTGGGGATGCCCCCGTGCCCGTGCCAGTCCCAGGGCTGCTGGCGTTAGCGGCCTCTGCCCTGTTCTAGGCTTGGGTTTGCCTGTGACGACGAGAGCGGCTCAGGCCTGGGGGAGTCGGCCAGGGACCCCATGAGTTGGGGGGCCGGGGTTGAGAAGTCACCGGCTGGCTTCTTTGTCGCTGTGGGTCTCGTATTGGCACCGCGTGCGCGTGCAGTCGCCCAGGGTGCCACGGGACTGAGGGGCACAAGGTGTCGGCGCGGGGCCTGATGCTGCTCCGCTTGCTCCCCCAGACAACACGGCCGCAGTGCACACGCAGCGAGTGGGCTTCAACCGCCAGGAGCAGGACGTCTACCTGCTCCCCATCCTGGTGGTGGACAGCGGCCCGCCGGCGCTGAGCAGCACGGGCACGCTGACCATCCGGGTGTGTGGCTGCGACAGCGCTGGCGCCATCCAGTCCTGCAACAGCACCGCCTATGCCATGACAGCCACGCTGAGCCCCGGCGCCCTCATCGCCCTGCTGGTCTGCATCCTCATCCTGGTCGGTGAGTCGCCCGGCCCCTTCCCGCCCCGTCCTGCCCCGCACCTCCTCCCTCCCGCCGGCTTGGGCTCCCCAGCTGGACGCTCCTGCCACGCGGCCCCTTCCACATGCCAGCACCTGGTTCGCTGCTGACGTGTCTTCTGGTCGGACGGGGTTCCCCAGGGCCCAGCTGGGCTGGCCGGCCTCCTGTGGGAAGCAAGCGGGGGTCCTCTGGGATGGGGTCTATGGACAGACCCCAGTGCAGCAGGGGGTGGCCCCTGGGGTCAGGTGAGTGCTCTGTGCACCCTCGTGCTGGCACCTCGGAAAGCTGCCGTGGGAGGACGGAGCGATGGGCCCCCAAGGGTGCGGCCGGGCCGGGCCAGGCTGGGCGCAATGTCAGAGGCGGGCCCTGCGACCAGGGTGGTAACCCTGTGCTGGCAGGTGCCCCAGCACTCGGGGCAAGCAGAGATGAGCCGGTCGCGTCGGCAGCCTGGGCAGGGCTCGCGCTGGCGCAGGTGCAGCTGCTGTGGGAGCGTCCCACCCTGACCCTGCTGCAGGGAGGAGACGCTGCGCGAGTCGCTGGCAGGACCGCCCGCCCGTTCCCTCGGCCTCCGCCTCCGCCTTGCGCTTGCAGGCTGACGCGGCTCCTGTGCTGCCCGGGCCCGGCAGGGGTCGGTCTGGCATCTCTGCGTGCCGAGGTCTGAGTGTGCTGGGATGCTCCTGGGGGCTCTTGCTCGTGTTCCCAGCGGGGTGTGGGGCTACAGCCTCCTGCGGTGTCCTCCCCAGCGTGGCCAGGGCACGCCTGCCTGGCGCACATCTGGCGAGGCCTCCCCACCCTGGCTGCGGCTCTGGTTGGGAAGCGCTTCCCTGCAGCGGTCTCACTGCCCTGCGCGGCACGATCGCGATTCTGCCTCCTTGCCCCCAAGCGGACCCTCATGCCTCGGTGCTCGGGGCCGGCAGCACCAATGGGCGATAAACCAGCAGGCGTCCGCGCCACCTGCTCCACGCTTGCCCTCTCACCATGTGGCTGCTGCCCCGTGCCCCCCTCCATCCTTGTGCTCCTACAACCCGCCAATCCACCCCTCTGTCCGTGCCCCCATCCCTGCCTCTTGCTCTCCGTCCCGCAGCAGGGCGTGGGGTGCCTGGGCAGCTGTGGGAACGCGGCCGCCTGCCCTGGACACCCCCGCCGGCCAGTTCTGGCTGCCGGGGAGGAAGGTTGCATGTCGGGCCCCCTCCCTCCTGCCAGTTCAGGGCAGTGAGGCAGGACCGCGGCCCCCGGCGCTGACTGCTGTCTCCCTCCTCAGTGCTGGTCCTGCTGATCCTCACCCTGAAGCGCCATCACAAGAGCCACCTGGCATCAGAGGAGGACGAGGACATGAGGGACAATGTCATCAAGTACAACGATGAGGGGGGCGGGGAGCAGGACACCGAGGCCTACGACATGTCGGCCCTGCGCAGCCTCTACGACTTCAGCGAGATCAAGGGGGGGGACGGCGGGGGCGGCGCGGGCGACGGTGGCCTGAGCAGCAGCCTGGCCTCGGAGCTCCACGCCCTCCCGCAGTGGGTCCAGAGCCCGGACCTGGACTTCTCCATGTTCAGAGACTACATCAGCAAGAAGGTGGAGCAGGCGGACGAAGACCCGTCGGTGCCCCCCTACGACTCCTTCCAGACCTACGCCTTCGAGGGCGCGGACTCGCCCGTCCCGTCCCTGAGCTCCATCAACACCTGGTCCACCAGCTCGGAGCAGGACTTCTCCTACCTGGGCAGCTGGGGGCCGCGCTTCCGGCAGCTGGCCACGCTCTACGCCGGGCACAAGGGCGAGGAGGAGGGCGAGGAGTCCTAGCCACGCCGGACTGCCCGGCCGCACCGACACCGGGCGCGCCCCCGGACCTGGGGGCTGCTGCAGGCGCAGGCGCAGACGCAGGCTCCGTCGGACGCCGCGGACGATGCGCCAGCCGGAGCGCGCGGCCCGGCCGCGGCACCGGGAGGCCGAGGCGGCGCAGCCGGCTCTGGACAGGGCAGCGCCGGGGATGTGATGTGCTTTGTTACCACCTCGTTTCTGAGGCTCCGGCGCACACACGTAAGGAGGCTGAAGTGCCCAGCGGAGCCACTGTCGCCATCATAATCTCTTTAATAACAATCTCCATTAAAGCACTACACATTAATTTAAGAAAGGGAAAATCTAATTCAAGAGAGCTCGGAGGGGGCTTCCCCCCCACAAATTATCATTTAAATAGATCTGTTCAATGAGCCTGGGCAAGGGAAGGAAGAGAGAAACGGGAGCCTTTTGTTGTCTAAATTGTTTTTGTCACTTGATTCAGAGCATTTGAAGTGCTTTGATTTTTTAAGAGCTTTCCTCGCAGAGAGAAGCCAGCTTTTAACTCCTGTTCTGTTCCCCCCTCGCCTTTCCTCCCCCTCCCCGACTCCTCTCCTTTCTTTCTGTCCCTCCGGCGCGGGCGGGGGTCCGGGCAGCCACGTCTGCAGTCCCGGCTGCTTGCGTCCCCAGCGCGTTTGCCAGGACGTGGGCCCCGCGCTGGGCGCCTGTCCAAGGGTCGGCCACGCGGGCGGCTGCCGCTCGAGGGAGGCCTCGCTCCTGGCAGGTTTTGCCCTTGTTGCTAGAAGTCTCCTGCCCCGTTGTTGCCGGTTCTTGCAGAGAGCCGTGCTCAAACCATCGTCCCTCCCAGCCCGTTGCCCCTGCACCGTGGGCTGGGGCCTGGAGGTGCCGTCACCGCAGCAGGGGCGCAGCTGCAGCTCGAGGGAGCCGGCTCCTGCCCTGAGCCCCCTCTCGTGGCAGGAGCTGAAGGGGGGCAGAGCCATGGGGCAAATGGGCCCTGACAATGGGAGGGGCGAGTCTTGTGGAGCCGGGCCCTGGGGTGAATAAAAGCGTGGTGCCCGGGCTGGTGTCTGCGAGGCAGATGCTGCTCGGGGGGATGGTGCTCACGACCCTGCGCTGCTGGGGGCTGTAGGCCGGTGCCAGAGCAGGGGTGGAAGCTGCCAAGCCTGATGCCCCAGGATGCTGCATCTTACCTGGGCAGCCCCACGGCACTGGCGGGCCGGAGCATCCCAGTCCTGCAGAGGCTGCGCATGCCCGTGCTGCAGGGCAGAGCGTGGCAGAGGCCGTGTGCTGCGGGCACGTGGCAAGGCACGGATCAGGGAGGGATGCCGAAGGGCTCAGCAGGAGACCCGTGGCCCCTGGTGCAGAGGGGAGCAGTTCCCAGCCTAGCTGGGCCTTGCCGGCCAGACCAGGGGACCCTGCAAATGAGACGCCAGCCCAGCGCCCAGGCAGAGGCTTGTCTGTACCAGCTCGGAGCGCGGGCAAGCCTCTCCCGTCACTGGGGTGAAGTCCCACAGGCCCGCGGGGAGCTGCTGGCAGGGTGGGTTTGTGAGGGTGGGAGCGAGCAGGTGCAGCAGACGGCCCCGGGGAGCCCGGGCCCCAGTTGAGCTGTGCCTGCAGGGCGGGCGATGCTGCAGGCCCGTGCCCTGGCCTGTGTTCCCCGGGGCTGGTCGAGGGGAGCGCAGGCACGGACACCACCTGCCAGGGGCTGGTGCGGGGGGTCGCCCCTCGTGAGCGTGAGCGTGCGCGTGCGCGGGCTGAGCTCTGCTCCCCGGCTGCAGGAGGGCCCCATCTGCTGCCCCGAGCACATGCTGTGGTGCCAGGTGGCGAGACGCCACGTGCCGAAGCGGGGTGTAGAGGTCCCTGCAATCTCTACCCGCCGTCAGTACAAGGGGCTGTACGTAGGCAGGCTCCTGGCCCGTTCCCTCCTCACATGCGCAGCGCCCCGAGCCCTGGCAGGGAAAGCCCTCTCTTTCCTCAGGAATTTCTCCATGCTTTGCCCCAGGCCAGAGAACCGGCCTCCCCGCCCGCCTGAACCGGCCGTCCTTGCAGAGGGCCGCGGGCGGGCGGCAGGGCCGGAGCCTAGCGAGCAGGGAGCGCGTCCCCCTGCCGTGCTGGCTCCCAGCCCAGCCCCTTCCCTCCGGCCACTGGTACGTGCGGCGTGTCTGGGGCCGGCCCAGCTCAGCGGCTCCCTGGGACAGGTCCCCGGGCATCGGGGCGCCGGGTGGGGGTCCCCCCCTTGCCACCGTCAGCACCTCGCCCAGGAGCTGCTGCCACGGCGGAGGGAAGGCGCGGGCAGGGGTCATGGCCGCGCGGCTCTGCGCTCTGCCCAGACAGAACCGGGAGGAGATTTCCTTGCCCTTGTTCCTATTTTTCAAGGTCTTTCTAGGACCTGGAAATAAACGATTTCCTTGTCGCCTGGACTGAGTCTTTCTTACTTATTTGATGGGGTCCCTCGCGCTGTGTTGTTGTTAACACGCTTTAATTAGATGGCAGCTCCTGGGCGGGGGCGCAGCCCCGGCCGGCACTCAGCCCTGCCACGCACGGCCCGGCATTGCGCTGGGGCAGAGCCGCATTTCAACAAAGCGCTGATGACGGCGCGTGCCCGCTGCTCCGGGCCCCGGGCAGGAGAAGGCCGTCGTGCCCCTGGAGGCAGGTGCGGGGCCAAGTGCTCGGCGCGCCGTGCAAGCCGCTTGGGGCACGTGCCTGCGTGCCCGGTCCTCGCAGGAGCCCCAGGGCCGGGGAGGCAGGAGGATGCTGCTGCCTTTCACAACACGCCGCCAGCCTGTCCTCGAGGCAGACTACGTGCGCTTTGGCT